GCTAGCTTTCCTTCCGCCGCTCTTTGTTGTCTTTCTTCATCTTCATCCTTCGGTTCTGAAACCAGATCTTTACCTGCCTCTCGGTCAGACTCAGAAGTCTCGCTACTTCGTATCTCCTATCTCTGGGCAGATACATGTTGAAGAGGAACTCCTTCTCCAGTTCCAGGATTTGGTGCTTTGTGTAAGGACAACGCTTTTTTCTCGTGGGCTTTGCGTGCAGCCAGCTGGATGATGGGTTATCTGGGAGAGGGGGAAGAACAACAGTTAGGAAGCATTTTATGCACGCGCTTTTATTAAAACTACTTAATTATGGTCTGTTGTTTTCCTTGTTCAACGACGCTGCAGAAAGGTGACATCCTGCATATTCAGACAGAACTAAGGATCATTTATGCCAAATCAACTCATTTTAAAGGCCTTTGGTTTTTATAAAAGTTCGTGCACACTCGTAAGCACATGCACGACGTTTCACACCCCCTGGATGTCCCCAAACAACATATTTAAAGTGCTGCATTGCTTACTTGCATCTATCTCTATTTTTTTCTCTGCCGCCTGATCCTCTGCGGCTCCAGACGCGGATGAGGTTTCAGGAATCTCTGCGATGCACGACCCGTTTTCAATGTCAGACAAAAGAGGAGTCTCCAGAGTCGTGCACTCGGTGCTCCCGATCAGCGGCTCGGGTTTGATGTCGTAACGCATGGCCGTGGATGGGATTCCCGTCAAGCACAGCGACGCAGAGACCGGCTCCAACGCCCAGGAGCGCGCAAACACGCCGTCGGTGTCCCCGCTCGAATAGGTCTGGTGATGGATGTAGGTCGGAGCGGCTGTGTTGGAGATGCTGCTCCAAGATCCACCAAAAATAGAGGATTTGGCCTGCAAAGGACAAGTCTCCTGACCGCCATATTCGGTGAGCACAGCCTGCTCCACCTCTGCAGCTGACGGGTACCTCGGTGCCATTTCTTCCTGCTCCGGGAGAATGCGAGCGTCAACATAGTAGCTCGTTCCCAACGCCGACATTGCAGAAGAAATCCAGAAAGCTCACATATAAAAAAACAAATAAAAGCTGGGTTTTACGGTCCTGCAGTGGGGAGGAAATGGCAATTCATTTCACTGTAAGGTGCCGCTTTGGTGCACCACCGAGGAGCTCGCTGTGTCCAGTTAAGTTGAACGTTGTCCAAACCTGGATAGGGCGCCCCGAAACACGTGACCGTGGGACAGAACAATAAATAATAAATCAGCCTGCTAGGGCCACCATTTTCCCCACTATATTTTAATAGCAAACCTCCGCGCCTTTTATTGGCAAATATTTCTTTTATAAGCAATAAACGTTATGATTTTTGTCGAGAGATCTTCTTTTAGTGCAGCCGAGGACAGCAGAGAACGGGAACAAGGGCTTTAACGCGCCCTTTAAAAATAAAAAAGGAATTTCTCCATTTTCAAAAATCAAAAAGATCAACGTGCTAAAAAGATGAAGGCTCTGCTGCTCTGAATGCTGCTTCTCTGGAAGAAAGAATGAAACAAACCCTTCAGCGATTTTTAAGAAGATAAGAGTTGCGATTAAATGATCGTTGGATTTTGTTGCACCTAAGGGAGAGTTTGGGTCTGCAAGTGTTGCACTTTTGAGGCAATCAGCGACAGAAAGCAGCCTAAAGTTATCCGGGTGCTGTTTATCGCTCCTGTTTTATCACGGGGGCAATTGGGTTGTTTTTCTTCAGGTTACAACCAGGCTGTCCGAACTAAATATCACCAATAAAGATCGGCCTTTGTGTCCTTTCTCTGGCTCAAGCAGACGCATCCGGCATTTTGGAGGCAACTGGCGGGCTGCAATGGTCATAACCGAGGCCTTGTCTCTGGGTCCTGCTGGACTTCTGCGTGTTTAAATCCCTTTATTCCCTCCAGCCTGCACATTTAGCTTTCTGCTCTGAGGTTACTACATTTGTTGTTTTGAACGTCTGAAGCTGGAGACCAGAATTCTGATCAGAATTTGTGAAATAAATCCACGTTTGCGCAGCTTTTACGCACGGTGAGAAGAGTTTCTGCACTAAACGACGAGTTTTACTGAGGTAATTCAGGCAGTTTCATGTTCTGGGGAAATCCAAACAACCCAACAACACGAGACTACCTAAACCACGCAACAGCCTGCTCTGATTTTATTTTTGTTTGTTTGTTTGTTTGAAGGGGGTGGGGGGTTGTTATGATGTTATTGTGCGTAAGAGATTCAGACAAGATCCATGCTTCTATTTTTAACACTGAAATACTCCAAGAATTACATAATTTTGAAGGAAAACAACGTGCGAATTTTGGTCTAAACCACAAAATTATCCTAAAACATAGAATCAAACAATCACTGCTTTCGCTGTTTGTGTGTCTGTTCACGATGGGAAACCTTCTCTCGGTGTCTACGGTCAGCAGGAATACTTAAAGCAAAGCACAGAAAACGAATGTGTAAGAAAACAACAACACAATCTGTGTTTGTGGGAGAAGAAAGACGCCAGCGCGGCTGCAGGGATGATTTTATTATTATGACCATCAAAATGTGCAAATATTCACCAAACTCCTCGGGTTCTTCAGCCGCCATGTGCAGCTGTGTCACGAATATTCTAAATGGTCACTCCCGCATGCAAAGCTCTTCCAATACACAAAATGCACACAAGGCGGCGGCTCTGACACAATCTGAACATTTGAAATTGATTACAAACGTAACCAAATACAAACCCACGACTAAAAGACTCAGACGTGAAAACAAAACAGGCGTTTCAACAGCAATAAGTTAGCATCAAGATCTGATATATTTCATGGACATTCTCACAGCTGGGTGGGGTCTGGGGGGTTCCTCAACCATGGATGGAGGTTTTTGTTTTTTCTTTTATTCTGATCAGTCTCAGGAGAAACTGAAGTTGGTGGAGAGCTCTCGGATCCTGTTTTCTCGGCTCATCTTTTTCAGTTTCATCCTCCTGTTTTGGAACCAGATTTTGACTTGCCTGTCGGTGAGGTGCACGCTGCGGCTGATCTCCAGACGGCGCTCCCTCGTCAAGTACATGTTGAAGAGGAACTCCTTCTCCAGCTCCAGAGTTTGGTGCTTGGTGTAGGGGCAGCGCTTCTTCCTGCCGCTCTTAGCTGTGAGCCAGTTGGCCGTGCTTTCTGTTTTCCCATCTCCTGTGATGGAGACAAACCAGAATTTCAACGTGAAACATCGTTTGAGATGAATCGTACCAATTTCCGGGAACAATCTAAAATCAGTATTAAATTCTGTAAGATTGTTTACAAGATTTGACGTGCTCCTGATGTTTTTGGCTGCTTTGATCTTTAGTTTTACGCATGAACCTGAGCAGCAACAGGTAGGTTTTTTTTTTTACAGCGGAAGCTAAAGCAAATGCTCTGACCTGACTGATTGTTGTTTAAAACAAAATTGCCATGAAATAAAATAAAAACATATTAACCATTTGATACATAATGGTCACTACAGTGGACAGGTACTCAAGCTTGTTATTATTATAATTATTTATTTATTTATTTATTTATTTTTGCTATTAAGCACAGCTGTTGAAGACTTTGTTGCATGTGAGCACCTCCATTTGGACTTCAGTAAGGCAAGCCAACATATTTCATGTTCAGAATGCACGCTGTCCACTGAGGCGGACATGTAATAAATTATTTATAAATTATTAAATGTTACAAAAAATATTTTTTGAAATTTGTTTCATTCACATCTGAAGATGAATGAAAAAAATGTTTTAAAAAATCATGGTTACATCAAAGGGTTAACTATGAGGGTTTTTTTTTACAGTAAAATATTCAATGGCGGAATTAAATTGGCACTTTTGGGCCGTAATCCTTCTTTTAAAAGAGAAAATCCTAAATAATAAAGGTTTAATTATCTGAAAGGTTATTGTTTCAGGCCTTTACTCCATTTAGTATTGGAAAAAGTACTAAAATGTGACCTGTTTTTATCATTTGAACATCTAAACAAACGATTCCAATCCTCAGCTCTGTACTAAAGGCCCTATTCAGCTGAAGTGGTTCTCTTCCTCATCCAATATTTGGCTAAAAGCATCAAACCTGAAACCACATGATCACATTCATAAAGTCGGACCACCTTTAGCGGGTTTTTCTGGGCAGTCAGGCCCGCACGTCTCTGCTGGTTCTGGGGAAGATGACCTTTCCGAGGAGAGGCGGCTGTCTTCCTCCCTGTCGGGGGCGCATGGCGCAGAGACGGGCGGCGCCTCCTCGTGGTTGTCCCTGCGCTCCGGCTCTGCAGAGGACCGTGAGAGCTGGCCGTCCGACCGCGCAGGTCGCTGCAGAGTAAATTGAGTCATATTTGGATGAACGTCGTGATACAGCCTGGAGGACGTGTACGTCTGAGACAGGCGGAAGTAGCCCGGGACTGGCACCGTGGTGCCGGTAACGGGGCAGGACGCAGCCGTATAAGAAACGTCATCTGTCGCCGCTGCTTTGGGACATTTGTCCGACTCGTAAAGGCAACACGCGCTCTCCTCCTTTATGCTGGGTGAGAATGAACACTGAGCCAAATGCTGATCCACCCGGCAGGATCTGGACGCCTCCAGCCACGTCTCCATCCCCTGGACATACGGAGCAGAGGACGGGATGGCGCTTTGGCTCGTCGGCTCGCTGCGCTTACCGATGGTCGAGAAACAAGAGCCACTGGAGAGTCCATATGAATATTCCGAGGCCGGTGGCAAATACAGGCCGTTGCTTTGGTAATACGAGCCGGTGTCGGCTCTCACGTTAATTAGAGAGTCCACAAAAAACGAATTTCCAGCTTGGTTATTGGAACATGACATCGTCGTGCAGTAATTTGGTAGCGGATGGAGATAGCCCTTTCTGGCTGACATTTCTTGTGCTAAACATTGCTGAATAATTACTGATCCTCACGCTTCTCACTGAAGACTGCAGCCAATTAAAACAGCAGGCGGCTGCAGGCTCCTCCCAGAGCCAGCAGCCAGCTCGGCTCGGTCACAGATTTGGTTTTAGGCTCAAGTAAAACAGAAAACACTAAGAGGAAAGTGGCGCATCAAATACCGTGCAGTAATTATTGTAGATCGCCTGGAGCTGGATGTAACCAAGAGCCTTCCTGTTCCTGCTGCACGCTGCAAATAGTTATTGGATGCATTGTTTTACAGCCAGTTTTACAGCACTGTAAACTCAAAGGGTGAAAAATAAGATCAAAAATGTCCAGGGCACCTTTCTGGAGCTCGGATTAAACATTTAGATCCTGCAGCACTTGCTTGTCGCATTGCTGAAGGTGAAACCAAATTATAAAGTTTAACTCGCAACTTTAAACAATTTCTGTTCTGCAAGCAGGAAGAGCACAACTCTGGAGATAGATGTAGTTAAAGAGCACATAGTCGGTTTGTTACAACAGGAGAGGGTCTAGAAACGTAGAGCTCTGAGTTTAAGCTTTGTTATTATTATTATTATTATTATTATTATTATTATTAATTTTCCTATAAAATTGGGATTTAACTGAAAAGCCAACAATTGCTTAAGATTTGGTTTATTGGTTTTTAATAGCCTGTCAAAAATATTTTACCTTAGAATACAGCATCGGTCGTCACACACACACACACACACACACACACACACACACACACACACACACACACACGCACACACACACACACACACACACACACACACACACACACACACACACACACACACACACACACACGGTCTGGAGTCATAAAGTCTAGAAATAAGAGCCGCAGTTTATGAACAACCCGTTTTATATGACGTCAGACCTGCAGCAGTCCAGAGAGGCAATGAACCCGGCGGATTACTTCCTGTCATGTTTCAGAGACGCTGCGTTCTTGTATAGTCACCCCCTCAGGACACCCATAAAGCACCACCGTTTATGGGAAAAGTTTCTTTCTCTTCTGGTTTCTAAAAAAGAGTCAAAGGGTTGAAACATGTCTGGTTGAGGCGCGGGGAGCAGAGGGCATCATCAAACTCCGTTTTGTGTTTGCAGTTTTAGACCAGAAAACGCAGCAGCTGCATAAACCCGCTTGACATGTCGCTTATCGCATTTCACATCAAAAGTATGAAAAAGTTACATTTCTGTTGGAAATGTCTTCCTCCTGTATGCCTTCATTAAATCATAACATTATGGGAAAGCGCGCCTGCAGATTTGTGACTCAGATGGAGCTGGTCTGAGATCAGATCCTCCTAAATCAGACTGCAGAGTCATTATTGCACATGATAATAATTCTGCGCCTACCTTAATGAAATCCGGACGTGGTAACATTTCCTAAATCATCTGCGAACATTCGTTTATATCTCAGTTCACGGCAATGACATTGATCTGAGGAGCGCCACCCAGTGGGCGCGCGGCGCAGCGCAGAAGGAGGCCTCCTCTCCACGGAGAGAAACAGCAACGAATGACGGAGAGCTCCGCGAACGCACGTTTCAACTCGTTGTTTCTCCTTTAGTCCCAGTTAATAACCTTGGTTCTCAGACGCTTTATGGCACCACACTCCAAATGCTCCAGACGAATCTGCCTTTTATGGCCGAGTTACTGGAGCAACTGGGAGGATGTGCATGCAATCAAAGGGGGAATTCCTGGGAGCCTCACAGGATGAGCCCTCATTAGCTTATGACAGGCCATTCGCGTTGTCTTCAGGGGCCACAAAACGCGATTTGGGGCAGGATTCTGGTTCCATCAGAACTCACTGTAATTCTGTTCGATTGTCCTGCTTTCTTTTATTTGAAAATCGCCAAAGTACCTCAACACCGATTATTTATGATGGGCTATGATTTTATTTTAAATTCACCATGTCTGGCTGTTTCACTCCGTCCTAACAGGCGTGTTAAGCCAAAAAGCAGCTTTTCCGCCCCCTCCTTCATAAATGAATGGGGTGTTTGTAACGGCGATCACATAACTGCAGCGGCTCTTATTTCCGGATGAGAGGGAGTGAACAGCATCAATAATAATAATAAAAATCAGCACATGGTGCATCTGATACGACCCACGTGCACCAAATGAAAAACACAAGAGATGTGGTTACTTCCATCAGCGGTTTGGAGCTTTCAGCTCTGATGATCCACAGCAGCTCAACCAGAGGGCTGGGTCGACGTTCTTCTCGTTTAGGCAGGAGTAAATGATCACAGCATGTCCGAATATTACAGCATGTTTTAAATAAAGGAATTAGTTCACATTCCTCCCACAAAACCCAAATTCTCGTATTATTTCTGGGAAAAATAAGACAAACTGGAAAATAAAGTTTAATTCTGAAGTAAATTAATTAATGTTTCATTTTGAAAATACAGTATCTATTACCGTTTTATTAAAATAAAACTGTACGTACCCCTTATAACAACAGAAACAACAACAACAACAACATAATAATAATAATAATAATAATAATAATAATAATAATAATAATAATAATAATAATATGAAGATTTTGTTTGGTTTGACAGTTTAGGAGAATAAAACGCCGTCCTGTGCGCTCTGTGGCAGTCTGTGTGTCCTACAGCAGAGGGGCTGTGCTGTAGTATTGTAAACGGTCCCTGTTGAGCTTCTTCTCCTTCATCCTCCTGTTCTGAAACCAGATTTTCACCTGCCGATCAGTCAAATTCAGCATCCGCGACAGCTGCGAGCGCTTCTCTTTGTTGATGTAAACGCTGAAGAAGAATTCCCTCTCCAGTTCTCTGATCTGATACTTGGAGTAGGGACACCTCTTATTGCGTGTCCTCTGCGCACCTGCAACTCAAAGAAATCCGAGTTAAAACAGACTCGAGAGAAGAAGTCGTTGCTGTGTTTGTCTTTCTCTGCAGTTGCACCACCAGCGGTGGTCCGCAGAGCTTTTGGAGTTCAAGTGTCTCCCTGCTCTCAGGCCTGCAGAGCGGCATTTGTAAACAAAGACTGCGCTTTGGGAGGAAAACTGCATGCCTGAAGAAATCTGGGAGCTTGAGAAAGTGGAGTATTACAGTTCCGCTGTAAGCTGGCGACTAGTCTACATATTCATCCTAAAAATACGAATTTAATTTAAAGAAATCACCAAACAGAATGAAAGTCACCTAAACTTAACTGGGCCTTGATTCCAACACGGGAAACGCGTAAACTTTTAACGTAATTATTAAGATGAAGGTTTGAGGATGAAAACATATCATCTTTGACAGAATAATGGTATAAAAAACAAGTGAAATGCAGTCAAGGTGCAGCTTTTCTTTCAAATGTTAACATAAATTTAGCACCAACGTCTTCACGGCCAATTTCAATCCCAAGCACGTGATCTTGTTGTTTATAACGGAGTTTTGTTCCGGGGTGAATCTGCAGGCCCTCCATAAACCTTGCGCGCTTATAAAAGCTCAAATAAAAGCGCTTTAAAAGCGACGCGTTGCACTCACTGCTGCTCCTGCTCTGCTTCTCCTCGCCGCGGCCGGAGGAGGACTTGGGGCTGCAGCGGTCCGTCGAGTCCGAGCCGGGCTGAGCCGGAGTCGGGCTCGTATCCGTGTCCATGTCTGTGGCAGCTGCGTTGGCCTCTGCGCTCCCGAACGAGGGGTCGAAAAACTGATCAAACGCCTGCGGGAGGACCCCGTTCCTGCTGAAGCCCAGGGTGTACGGGTCGGAGGAGCTGGAGGAGCCTTTGACCAGGATCTCTCCACCCCGGGAGGTCGCTCTACCCCAGCTGTCCCTGTTGTGCACAATGTCCTCAGCGTGCGCCAGGCTCCCCCTGTTGTGGTGCCATTTAGCTGAAGGCTCGATGCCATAATCTCTAAAAGCCGGAACCTGTGGCAGAGCGGTGCTCTGGTAAGAGTAGTTCACGGGGCAGGAGGACTGGCTCTGCGTTAAATAATGAGGGAGACCCGAGAAGTCCGCTCCTGAGACGTAATACGTGCAGCTCGGTAGGAACATATTAGAGCCAGAAATGCGATCATCAAATTCCATATTCCGCTGCTGGGGAGGGAGAAAGAGGGAGAAAATAACGAACTACGACAATCCGCGCATCGCTCCGTGGCGCTGCGCTGCAGCCACTTTGAGGCGGACTGCTGGAGCAAAAATCCTTAAGCTGACGTGGGGATCCATCTCTATCCATTCCAGAGGGCCAAAGCCATGTGACCACTGGCACAATATGACAGATAGCCTACGTCTCAGCGCGTGGGCTATAGCTCAAGGAGCTCGGCTTTATAAGTGGAGTGCATGAAACAAACGGAGAGAACCCGTTTTGGGACAAATGGCTTCAGCGCAGCTCCTTTCGGGATTTTTGGACTTCATGTTCACAAGAAAGACTTTTGTCCAAGTCCATACTGTCAAGCGTGTGTTTGTTATTTTTAACACGTTAGGAAGTCAAACGCATCACCAAACCAACCTTTTAATACCAGACCCTGATATGGGTCCAGGAATTAGACGGTAACCGAGAACTTGTTGCGTCTGGGAGGATGGAAGCTCATTTACTTGAATCTTTTGTCACATGCAGGGTTGGTTTTTGCAGAGGCGAGTAAACCTGCTCTGAACCAGCGGAGGCAGAGCTGCACCTTTGTCTCCACAGAGGACATCTCGTTGTTTGGAACAGCACCCAGTTTCAGATTCTCAACGTGTGACTGATATTTGATGTTGCCCCGGTGAAAAGGGAATAGCTGTGCCACTGAAAGGTCCGAATTTTATCGCGCGCGCGCGAGCGTGTGTGTGTGTATGAGAGAGAGAGAGAGAGAGAGAGAGAGAGAGAGAGAGAGAGAGAGAGAGAGAGAGAGAGAGAGAGAGAGAGAGAGAGAGAGAGAGAGAGAGAGAGAGAGAGAGAGAGAGAGAGAGAGAGAGAGAGAGAGAGAGAGAGAGAGAGAGAGAAAGTCACCGCTGATGCACAAATGAGCGTCACACATCACACACTTTATTCCGTTCAGGTTGTATTTATTTTTGTGCGTAAGGCGATGGAGACGCTGAGGGTGGATGAAGGACCGCTTGGCCGTGCTTAACTGGATTTTGGTGGTTTCCGGCGTTCTTGGGGAGTTAGTTGTTTTGATTTTTTCTCGGTTTATTTTAAATTCGTTTGTGAATTTGTGGTGTGCCAAAAATCCTTCCCTCCAAATCTGACATAGTGGCCATATTATTAGGCAACAGGCCAGTAATCTTAAATGGAAACGGGTTTAGGGTTTACATACTGCAGTGATCTTTTCTGGAATATGTTAGCAAGTATATGTTGTTTTGTGTTTTGCTGTGAGTAAGTCTGAAGGGCTGAAGACGCATCCAGCTGTGACCATCCCTCGACATATATAGTTCCAGATCACTCTCTAACTGCATTTGAAAAATGTCCACACAAAAATCTAATCTGATGATTTTAATAATCAGCAACGTAGTTAAATTAACAAACAAACAAACAAACAAACAAACAAACAAATAAATAAATAAATTTGATTGCAAACATCCATCAAATGAATGTGCAAAACACTATAATTAATTTTTCTCTGGGATAAAAACCGAAGAAGTAATTATTTTAACATCTTAGCCAGTTGTACTTTTTTCTAATTTTATTTGAAAAGAGGCCTAAACAAATGCAAAAAAGGCTAAACGTTTTGATTTATTTTGTTGAAATTAGAACGACAGGAAATCTTAAACTGATAAATAGTCTAAAATGACTCATTTGTTGACTATTCTTCGTTTTCCACGTCAGTCTAATGAAGTCAAGTGTACGTTCAGGAAGGACCCCGCGGTTGTGGGGGTGGTGTAAACACCTCCACCCTCCATCCATCCACCGTGGATGGATGGAGGGTGGAGGCAACAAAAACTAAATAAAACGCACAAGACCTGAAATCAGTTGTAAAGTATTTGATTTTTGTGTCATTCACATAAATTGTGTGTGTGTTGGCCCGCCCAGTACAGACAGCATCAACACGCTCAGCTGCGCGCTTCACCTGTCTGTCGCCACGGGGAGGTCTGCTGGGTCTCCTTACACAGGAGCTCGTGGATCAACTGATGTTTAAAGAGCCTTGAGGCGACTCTGGCGCAAACCTGAATTGAATTAAAAAAGCGACTCCTAACTGAGTGCAACACCTACGGGAGTGAAAATGAAATTTCAGCACTCGTTTTTCATCTGTGATCCTGTTGATATATTAATGAATATATTCATGTTTAATCGTTTTGTGGTAATTGACAAAATTTAAACAGATATAACCGAATAAGGAAAAATTTTAGAAATTAATCTTCAGATTGCCATTAATTTATTTGTTTGGCTGTGTCTGATACCCCCCCCCCCCCCCCCCCCCCCATCTTCAATGAAAAGTTAATAGTACCCGTACCACTACTGTGGCTCCTATCAGCAAATATTAATAAAACATACTTTGTCACTTTTACATATGTTAAGCTTTATTTTACGAGGTGCGTAAAAACATTTAGTCTGGCATTTATTGCTCACTGTTAATAAATATAAGCTGCCATTGGAATAATTATTATGAGCTCTCTGGCCTGCAGACAGGATGTTTTGGAGGAAGAAGTTTCCTAATCGACAGATAGGAGGCGAAATAACATATAACACTGCCCAAAGTGAGGCTGCAGACCAGAGGGAGGTTTCTGACTTCATTTTAGAACATGATAAGTGAAATAAGTCTAAAAAAAACTCTTGCTGTTTAAATGTTTTCTGAATCTATGTTTTGTTTTGGCCTTAATCAGAGTTAATGGATAATAATATTTACCTTAACATTGATTCATTAACCTCAAATTTTTCTCTGAGAGAAAATGTACTATAATATATTATATTATACTATATTATATTATATTATACTATACTATACTGTACAATACTATATTATATTATATTACATTATACTACACTATATTATATTATATTATACAATACTATACTATACTATATTATATTATGTTATGTTATGTTATATTATATTATATTACATTACATTATACTATACTATACTATACTATACTATACTATACTATACTATACTATACTATACTATACTATACTATTTTATATTATATTAAAATCTATTATATTACATTACATTACATTACATCATACTATACTATACTATATTATACTATACTATACTATATTATATTATATTATACTATATTATATTATATTATATTATGTTATGTTATATTATATTATATTATATTTTCTTCGAGAGCTAGATAGATAGATAGATAGAGAGATAGATAGATAGATAGATAGATAGATAGATAGATAGATAGATAGATAGATAGATAGATAGATAGATAGATAGATAGATAGATAGATAGCTAGATAGATAGAGATAGAGTAGAAACATGTGCTGACAGAGATTGGCCACTAGATGGCGACCACTGGTCTTACTCCAGTTAAGTGGAGCAGCGGGCCTTTCGGCCTTTTTTTATAGTCAATACAACAATTAGTAGTTTTAGAGCTACACAAAACTTTATATATATATATATATATATATATATATATATATATATATATATATATATATATATATATATATATATAATGACAACGAACAGGTTTAAGCGTTGTTCTTTCCATTTGAGCTATTAATGTATAACGCTTTCCTTGTTGTAAGCCATTGAAATCGTATTTTTGTTGACAATTATAAGTAAATCTTAGTAACAAAAGGACTCGGCGTCTCCCAAAGTTTTATTGTTAGAAAGAGTGGGGTTGCAGTGAGAAAACAGCGGATGTGGTTTGTTAAACTCAATATTTACTTTAAATGTGTCTAAAATATTTTATATATATTATCCTCAAGCAGGAAAACACGATTTTCTGTAAACAAATAAAACATGACCCTTTCGCACAGAAAGACAGCGATGAGGAGAAAGTTTGATAATGTTTTATTACACAACAAATAAACGGGATAAATAATCGATGTAAACTGGTTTTAAAGATTTCAGAATTAGGAAAACAGGTTCCTCGTTAAACACGATCTGATTAAAATTACTTCTTATTATTTCATTATTGGAAACGGGAATGTTTGCTGCAGCATTACAACAACAATATATACGTGTTCTTGAATAATTAATTAAATAAAATGTTATTTCTATATCGAACAGAAAATGCGCATTAGTGGACAGATCGTGGCCTCTTTGGGGACTGAGTCTTGGTGAAAACTTCCCACGCAGAATAAAATCCAAACCACTTCCGATCTTCTGTCAGCAGGCCATGTGGACTGGTTCCAATTAAAACGTGAGGAAAGGGGAATGTTCAGAACACAGCCGCACTGGCGACAGCCAAACCCGTTAAAAACAGAATAAATTATATTTTATTTGTCATATTTTGGGATATCTGGAGCTAACTGGAACTCTTGAATTTATTGACAATCTTTTTTTCCTTCACGCGCCTGTTCTGAAACCAGATTGTCACTTGTCTCTCAGTCAGATTTGTCTGCGCTGATATCCGTCTCCTTTTGTCCTTGGTGATGAATTTATTGGCGGCATACTCTCGCTCCAGTTCTTTGAGCTGCACCTTGGTGTAAGGCACGCGCTTCTTCCTCCCACGGCGGCCCGAGGAGTCTCCCCCAGTTATGGAGTCTGTAGGAGAGAAATCACTTTAATTTTGGAGTTTGCGCCAAAAGACACGAACATAAACATTTTCCCCTGCGGGAACATTTGGCTTTGCGTGGGCCATTTTACGCACTTAATTGAACGTTTTCAAATAGAACGCACCTTGTAGTGAAGATTTCCACAGAGGATTGGACTGCGGCTGCTCCTTGGCGCAGTAAACCTGTCCACTCCAGCCGTTGGTGATGGCCCAGGGCTGGTAGGGCTCCATGGGCAGCAGAGGCTCGTGCCTCGGTTCGGATGGAGCACTCAGCGCAGGTACCACAGGCACGTCCAGGTAACTGGCTTGGTAGGGACTCGAAGAATAACTCTGGTAAAACGCGAACTCCTTAGCTCGGGTTGAGAACTCCTCACCGGAGACCGACGCGTCCACATATTTCTCACCGTAGCCGGAGGTCTGTGGGCAGGCTTTAACGCCACCGTGGGACATCCGACATGGGTAATAACTGCTGCCAAAGTATCCATAAGGCAACGATGCGTTGGGGGAGCTCTGGGTGGCCGAACAGGGGCTGCACTGCTTCCCAGGCTCCCCCACGCCGGAGACTGGCACATCACTTGCTGCGTAGGTGGTGCTGGGAGCCAGAGAGGTCGGATGCGCTAACAGATTCCTGCACTGGTTCGCTGCAACGTTGCCCCCAGAGAACCCCTCCATGTTTTTGTTCCTGTCCTCCAAAGCGCTGTCGTAGAGAAACATCACTGGGTCGATCCAGTGCGAGTGGAGCAGTAGCGAGGCGGTCATAGCATGTCCCACATCGAGAGGACCAGCTCTTTTTTTTAAATCCCCTCGACTGAGCCCAGACTGGGACTCGGGCAGAGTAACGGTACCAACACCACCGAGTACTTCGAGATCGTGAGGTTATTGGCCGGGGCCAAACACGTGATATGCAAAGAAGACAGCGAGACCTAGACTTGGATGAAGATATTCGTCTCCGCTATCTAATCTGAAATGGGAGAAGACGATTCTGATGTAACATATTTATTTTATTTTTTCCATTTTGCTCATTTTATCAAATCACCGAGCAAGTTATTTTCTCTTGAACTTTCGCGCAAATATTTGGATTTTGGGAAACCTTCGACTAAAAGAAAAGCAACAAGTGTTTCATAAAATCACGATATAACCTTTATATGTTTATTTTAGGGAAGATATCGGGTCTTTTAAATCTTTTAGTCAAAAGTGAAACTTGCATCACATTAAATCAGTAACGTGTCTATCATTGAATGTCGTTTTTACGCACATGTATTTTACGCAGAAACAAATAATTATCCAGGTTTTGTGCAGAAACAAAACAATAAAATCTTCCGGCCCTCAATGACATCAGCCCTGAGGCAGGCGCAGACACGAGATCATTGTCCAGATAGCGCCATTATCGTGTGCGCTCTTCATCCTGCGCGTCGGACACGCGGCTGCGGGCTAAGGTCAAGTTGAAAGTCGTTGTCCGAGCAAAAGAAAAGAGTCCTAAACGACGGAACGAATAAAATGTGTAAAATGGTCCCGTCCTCCTTCACGCGTCAGATTTAAAAACGACTCATCAGATCGACGCTAAACTGAGCCTGAAAACAGATTATCACCATAAAACGCGGCCGGCTGTTTTTCAAACCAACGAAAGTCATCTTCAGGAGACAAGAACAAAGAAAAGAGTTTCAAACTCAGATTTTGTGCCACGTGACTTTATTTAAACTCCACACCGCTGAGCCCGACGAATGTATACAGCTCCCCAAATAAAGTTGAGCACCTTTTATATTTCAATAGAGTTTTCCCACCTTTTGAGGCTGTAAATCTTTATGGCCCAAGTTGTAGGCAATAACGTTCGGAAGCCTGGCTTTGAGGAGAAGAAATAAAAGGCATAAAGTGTTTTGTCTGGCTTCGCTTTTTTTATTCTAATCAAACGCAATTAACGACCTCAAATCGGATTTTCATTTCTAGCTCTAAAACAATCTATATTTAAACAGAAGATGGAATAAAGACGCACTTTTCTCTAACTTCATGCAGCTCGTGATAAAAAATAAGAACCATAAACGTGGTTATAAAAATATTCACTTTACATCACATTTAATCAATCAATACTATTATACTATATTATATTATATTACATTACATTACAGGCACAAATACTGAACGTTAAAATACTTTTATTTCATATTTACATAAACAATCACATTAAAAACAATCGTTTATTTTTATTACTTATTTAGAAATATCATTCCATGTTCAGTTGTTCAGGAATCACCTCAGAAATTAAACCAACGCACAGTTTCCTGATTTTACCACAAACTGCAAAAACCACCGAAACACCCTGAAAATAATCCGATATATGATGAAATCAAAACTGTAGCCATGTTGGAGATTAATTATTTTATGGATATTGAACTTTTAGAACCAGAGAACCATGAATGATACTGACTCTCCCTTTCTACATGGTGAGTTGGGCTATAACGAATATTTGCCACGTGCCTTCAGGGAAGAGAACGAGCCCTTTGGCTGTAACTGGGTGCATTTACATTGTAAATATTCATGAATGCACATGTTGCTGTAAAACAAATAAAGTTATTAATTTACTCAGTTGATGAGCTTAAATCAACATTTAAACACAAAAAGAAAAGCATCCCCATTTAAAATAAAGGCAATAGCTAAACATCTAGTTCTTAATTAATAATAGATGCATTATTCTCTCAATACGCTGTTTTCCTAGGGTTTGGGACGTTTTTTCACGTATTAAACTGCATCTTCATTTTCCTTCATTTAACCAGCACACAGAATAAACGTGTGGGTGAGTTTGTTCCAACAGCAGAAAAACGAACCAACACCTCGGCCACAGAGGACCACACTGTTGTTGTCTGTCTTATTTCTGCAGACAAAGCCCTAAGAAGTAAAAATAAGATTTTAACGCAATTTACCATCTAATTCCAGAACGTGACTCTCGTCTGGGAGAACAAACCGTGTTGATGCAAAAGTCAACAAGGCATTAAAACAACTTATGTTTGCAAATAAAAACCCACAATGGCTGCTGGGCGTAAAGCTGATTAAAAAGCGAAGCGGCTTCGAGTCGACATGTAGGCGATATAGAGGATGGTGTGTGTGTGTGTAGTGTGTGTGTCGCAGTCTGCTGGAGGCCTGAGACCAAAGTGCAGCTCTGTTTGCGGTACCTATCACAGATGACAGCACAGCTCTTTGCCTACAGTGCTTAATGGACTTTTTATGACTTCGTCTTGTGATCGCATGACCTGTGGCACCTTGGCCTCTCAGATCAGAAACATGCCGGCTCCTGCCGTGGAGGGGGAGGAAGAAGAGGGATGGAGCCCTAATTTGAAGTGGCCTGTATGAGTATTTAAAAATATTTAAATCTGCAAAGAAACACATAGTACAGATGTTACTCTGCAACCAGCGGTTTCCTCCAAACAGCAATTTAAATTGTTAAAAGATGCAAACACCTGATAGGTTCTCAGAGGGAGTCCTCGATCAACTCAGAGAAATTAGTTAAAGTCCCGTCAGTCATCGCCACACCTGGTGGAATTTCCTCTCATTTGACCCCTCCCTGTGGCGAGCTGCAGCAGCTGTGCCTGGGAACCATTTGGTTTAACCCCCAATCCAACCCCTTAAAGGTGCATTATGTAGAAATTAAGTCCTGTGGTAAAACCTGGTTACTGCAACCACCTTAAACAACTCCAGAGCTTCTTGCTGGCCGTCATCAAATGACAATTGTCGGCGCTGCAGCATCAACTTTCAGGAGACACGGCACCCCCGCACTCACTGAGGGTAAACAGTTACGTCCCTCCTTCCTTTGTTCTGGAAGAAAAACGGACAACCCCTGCAGCCAGCTGGATATGAAACGTGTTTCAGTATACCCTTCCTTTCCAAATGGTTGGAACAAGAGACTCTTTTGGGATTTTCTGTTAAACTCTTACTATATTGTTACATACTGCACCTTTAAAGCTGAGTGTCAAGCAGAGAGTCACTGAGTCACACACCATTTCTAGTCCATGACCCAACCAGGATTTGAACCCTGATCTCTCAGGCTCAGGGCAGACACTCTACCACTAGGCCACTGAGACAGCATTGAGAATGGAAAATTTAGCTAGGGATATTCCAAGGATTAGCTCCGTATTGATTTAGCAGACGCTTTTATCCAAAGTAATGTACATTTAACCTAACATACATGCTTTTGGTCTGTGGGAGGAAACCAACACACTGAGAACACAAAGTCTGCAGCAGGGTTTCAAACTTGGAACCTTTTTGCTGCGAGGCAACAGTGCTACTGCATCACTGTGTGCCCAAAATACACAAAACAATACAAACAGCAGCACGTAACAACAGAAAAGAAGGACAGAACAAAACAAAGGAAGGCAGACAGTTATTTTTTGATATAATCTAGTTTATTGTCTTCATTTCTGACTGAATGTGACAGAAAAAAAACACAATGTCAAAAAACTAATGACAACAGGAGTGACACACAGAACGGAAGAAAGGATAAATTATGAACCACATTTGTAGCTGATAACAGTTTATGTAATTGCCCTCTGTGACCATTCGCTTATTCAGTAAAACTCAAAGGAGAGTCTCCTGATAAAAGGAAGACTTAAATGTAAAACATCATTTCCAATAAGTGTTCACATTCACTCAGACGGTGCCAACCTTCTTAACAACATCTGATGGAAAATAACAGAAAAGTCTGTGTGTGTGTGTGTGTGTGCGCGCGCGCACTCTAGAACCATGCCATGTTAGGCACATGGCGAGGGTGATGGATGGGGTGGAGGCTAACACTACTGACCCTCCTCCTCACGCAGGAACTGGAACACGGAGGAGAAATCTTTACTGGCGTAACCGCGAGCGCACATCATACGATAGATCTGATGGGCTAAGGAGCCCAGGGGGACAGGAGTCTTTGTGTTGGTGGCCGTGTTCTGAGCAAGCCCCAAGTCCTTAAAGAGAAAAGAACATGTTAATTAAATCCCGACCCCCCCCCCCCCCTACACACACACACACACACACACACACACACACACACACACACACACACACACACACACACACACACACACACACACACACACACACACACACACACACACACACACACACTTTTTAAGGGTTATGAACCAAACTGAAACTCTCCAGTCCTTCTCATGCTTGATAAAAAAAAAACTGACAGATTGTTCTGAAACTGTTTAAAAATGACTAATAGAATTTTACTTCATGGCAAAAACACATTTTTGTATATAAAAGAGTGATTTTACTCCTTACTGTGTAATCTCAACCTTTCTCAACACACCTTAGCCATTAGCTGAGTTCCAAACCCTCCTTGGTAGTTATTCCCAGACGGGACTCCTTCCATGACACCTGGCACCGGGTTGTAGGTGTCGCTGGACCAACAGCGACCCGAGCTCATGTTCAGAATTTGGGCCAAAAGTTTGGGATCAAGACCAAGTCTGTAAATAAAAGTCCTCTTAGGGATGATCTTGTGGCAACTTGAGGTACTTTTTTATTCATTCCATGCCAAACGTTCGTTACCTGATGCCCAAGTTCATCGTCTCTGACGTCCCGATCATCCCGATAGCTAAAAGCATGTTGTTACAAATCTTAGCAGCCTACGAGATAAGGAAAAAAATTTGATCTCAAGTTCTTACAATAAATAACCAACTTTCTTACAGACTTACTTAACAATAACTAAAACAAAACAAACAGTTTTCCACCTGCCCAGTTCCAACTTGACCACAGTAAACCACGTTAGCGCCCATGCAGCTGAGAAGCTCTTTGGCTGCAGTAAATTCCTCCTCCACTCCTCCGACCATGAACGTCAGCTTACCCGAAGTGGCAGCACCCACACCTAAAAACATGTTCACGCACAATCAGGTAAATACAAATAACACAGAGTTAGCCATCTTTTATACAGAGCTGCCAAAAACCGTCAAGTCTAATAGAGGATATTAAATCATTACTCCAATAAAACTCATTAGAAAAGAATGAAAAGGTCCATTAAGAACAAAGCTTGTTCTTTATTCCCCAAACTTCTGAATGCACCTGATTTACAAGAACAAAGTAAATAGGCAGCAAGAATGTTGCTAAATAATAGAAAGTGTTTTTTATTTCACACATTAATGCAAAGTAAAAATGTTTTATTAATTAAAAATGCTCTTTCAGCATCATTTCACGCAGAAATAAAGCAATGAGTCATGAGGCAGATGCGGGTGTCATCGTATTAAAACCAAACACTACCAGTTTAGCTTGTTCTCACAGCGGCTCGTGTAGGAACAGCTGGTTCTGGTTCGGGTTCATACAGGGTTAAAGCTTGGCACTACACAATAACCAGGTGCAGGACATATGGGTGCCAAGCAGTAAACCATCAGTCTTATAATTAATCCCCGAGTTTACAGGAAGGCAGTGGAGGAGGGTGTTACACGTTTCCCCTTCCATAATCCTCGTAGGCAGTCTGCCCCCCCGGCTAAAAGGCCTCATTTGATTTTTTTTAAAGCAACAAGGAAAAATGCTGAAGATTCAGTTTGTCAGAATGGTAATAGACCTGCATTTGAGATGGCGCTAAAACGGAGGCGTTGGAATTGCCACCGACTGTTTTCTGGTTTAGAACGGCGAGGTTTGGTGGGTGCGTTCAAGTTAAAGAACAATGGAGGTAGACTCCATCTTGAATGTGCTGTTGACAGTATTGGGACAGTTGCTTTATTCAGTAATTAGTTATAGTCACTAATTATTTCTTGAAAAAAGAAACCGCATTGCAATATTATCAGAGTGACTAATGACCAAGAAAAGTAAAAACTGTATTATTTTTTAAATTAAATTATGCAAGAAAATATGAATCCCTTCTTCCCAGAACTTACTACATTTACTAGAAATGAGTAAACAGATGAGCCTGTTTTAGGAAGTACTAGTCAGCTGGAGGGGAAAGTAGCTTCAGGCATCAGGATTTATTACTTCCTGGTATTCTGACATCTCGCCTCTGATTGGATAACAGCAATGGGACTCCACCACCGACTCCATTAGCTTTCCAACAGTGATGTTTTATCTCCACAAATAACACCCGTGTTAGGCATCTTACACTGAAAAGGTAATCCGTTATAGTTAAAAAATTTTATTTTTCCAAAAAGTAATTCAGTTAGTAACTCAGTTACCAGACTGTAACTAGTCACCTAGCAAAGTAACCGTGACTACTTTATGTTCCATTCTTTCATATTTATCATGTCAAAGGCTGTTTTAACTGCAGGTCCATGCGGTCATCCTGCTACATTCAGAAGAGGTTTTCCAAACCCCGCCCACCCTCTCTGGACCGACGGAGATACAGTAATCCCTCGCTACTTCGCGGTTCGTTCATCGCTGATTCGCTGCTTCGCGGATTTTTTCTTTGGAGCATTTTTCAGGGGGAATTCGCAGATTTGCGGTATTTTTCACTGATTCGCGGTATTTTTCTATGCTAAATATCAAGAAATTCTTGTTTTTTTTCATCAATTTCATCATAAAATGCACTTTTTGTAATAAAACTAAAAAAAACCAAGTAAAAAATTTTTTTTCTTGAGTTTTACCCACAAAAAGAAAATGTGATCATACGATAAATCAATAGGGAGCGTGGTTTCACAGACGCGGAAGTGATAGCGTCGGTGAAACGCCGGCTGACCTAGGAAACCCCCGAGCGTTCGAGCGTCAACGAAGTGACACGGAAATGCCGGGCTTTCCAGAAGTAAGTAAGATAACTTACTATGAGCTGATAGTTCTTTGGATTGATCGGTAGGTTGGAAACTCTGATCATGAATCTGAAGAAACGATGACTGAGTGGTGAGCTGGAAAGGCGACTTCCGTTTTTAGCCGCGGTTTGTGACGTAGGTGCGACGTGGAGGGAATCCCCACGAGGGGCATGCTGGGAGTCCCTACTTCGCGGATTTTCACCTATCGCGGCCAGGTCTGGAACGCATCTACTGCGATAAACGAGGGATTACTGTATTCCAGGGCTGAATTATCGTTCCTGCCCATTCACTTCAGAGACAGTAGCTATTTCACACAGTGGCTCAGTTCCAAAACCAAGTGAAAGTGAATCAAACTCAGCAACTGAGACATATTTGAATTCCTCTAGTAACGCCACAGAGCATCATTAACACTTCAGAGGGATTTTTTTTTTCTGTAATTGTTATCTCGTTAATACAGAAAAACAGAGATTTTTATTTCTGTGGCTGAATACGTAATGTAGGATGAACATTTCAGATATATGAAAAGTTCTTGCAGTAAGAATTTCCTCATGGATATTTGGAGTGTTCATTTCTATTGGGAACAACAGGATTACAGACATCTGGAGTAGACAACCAGATACTTTTTAAATAGGCCACCGTAGGTTTTTAGAGACAGCTCAAACTTCTATCCTAATAGTACAGTTGTTAGTATTGATTTCCTTAATTATAATTTCTATAATAACAACATAGCTGCTGATGTCTTCATTTGCAAGTTTGACTGATAAGAATACAATTAGTACCAGGATAAATTAAATTAATGCCACGTAAAACAATTGTTGGTTAAATGTTAAAACGGCTTGCCACAGAGATGCTTGTTCCCAGCATGTCCTGTTTTCACTCACGTCCTCACTCACGTTCTGAAGTGCTGTTTGGTCCCCAGCAATATTTACAGGTCCATCACAATAATTTAATAATTCACCCTGTTCTCATAGCGATTGGAAGAACGTGTGTGTGTGTGTGTGAGAGAGAGAGTGTGTGTGTGCATCAAACACGTATGAATGTTCATTCTAGCTGTTTTTTATCGGCTTGGGATAGGATGGGGGAGTCCGAGTCCCTCAGTCCAGCTTGTCCAAGTTTAGTGTGCAACCAACACGTCGCTACTGCGGCGGTCTCGAAGCCTGGCGGTGCTGCTGTGCTTTATTCAACTACATTATAGTAACGCGCCACTTTACACGCCCAGAAACGGTAACGGTGATGCAACAATGGGAAAAGTAATTAACCTAGCAATTATCTAAAAAGGATCGCCATTACTGACAACACTGCCGGTGAGTCTGCTGACCGTGCACGGACGGGGAAGTTTGGGGCTTCCAGGAATGAGAACAAATCCTTGCAACATGAGGTGTTGTTGGTGGATGACTGGCACAACAATTGGCCTCAGGCTCTCATCACGGTATCTCTGTGCATTTAAAATGCCATCAATAAAATATACCTGTGCTGTCCATGATTTTTCATGCAGTCCAATAAATGCGATACAGGGTTTTAGGGCCGATATCCGATATCAACATCGGAACGGGACATCCCTAGCCACAACTGCCCTGGGGAGCACAGACGATGTGAGGCTGCAGAGAATTGGCACCACTTGTCCTTCTGACCACCACAAGCAGGCAAGGTGGAATAGTGTTTTGCCTGAGGGCACAACAACTGCAACATTTTAACCTGCAACCCACTGGTTAAAAGGCTATCGTAGCAGAAACTTAGGATAAGATCTGCAGAATGAAAGGAATTATTTATTTACAGCAGTAACGCTGTGAAAACAACATGAAAAAAATACATGTTGAGATCCTTTATTTATTCATATAATAATTCATGATAAACTTGAAGAAGTTTGGTTATTTCATCATTAGACCACCACCTCAGCGCAACACAGTAAATCACCATTTGTCATGTTCTGTGTCCTTGTGGTCCCCAGCCCCCTCCAGGTTCCCCTCATGTTTCTCCTAAGTCCCCTTCAGACAGGCCATGAAAAACGGAAATGTTCAGGACTCTGTCTGTAAGACCTTTGTGTCTGAATACAAACATCCGGATAACGTTTTCCGTAATTAAACCGGACGACACCCCTAGTAACAGGTCCGGAATTGTTACGGACAAGGTGGCTGCTTCAGACTGGTGAGGTCGAGTTCCGGACAGGGAGGAGGGGGAGGAGGAGGGGACCGGGGGACGCTGTGCGCACCTAGATAGCTCGCTCCTGTAGCATGAGGCGAACCATGGCAGCTCGCCTCCTACGGTACCGCCTAGACGCGCGACGGAGCGCTTCACACCGCTTCAGTGATTCCTTTAACCATTGAGCTTCATCATCCAGGTCTCGTATGCATTTTCGTGTGCGCAGAGTTATGCTTAACATAAGGCCTGCTCGCTGTTTCTCGTTCGAGGTGTCGTACTCGCGGGGACCGGGCTTTCTTAGTCCTAGCACCGTCACTCTGGAACCAGTTGCCACCCTCAGTTAGGCTGTCCCCATCTCTGCCAGTCTTTTAAGAGTCGCCTAAAAACCCACCTCCTCCGCTTGGCGTTTCCTGAACGTGTTTGAATTTGGCCCTCTTTAATGTTGATTTTATTTCCCTGTTTTCATTGGTTTGCTCTATCCCTTGTTTTACCCTTTGTCTTCTACTAGAATGTTTTACCTTTTTTTGTAATTTGAACAGCTTTTATTTTCGATTTATTCACCATATTTCAATTTGTCATGTAATATGTTCAGCGCCTTGGGCTACCCGACAGGGTTGCGGAAGGCGCTACAGTTGTGGTCAGAAGTTTACATACACTTGTAAAAATTATAATATAATGGCTCTACTGAGTGTCCCGTTATTTCTAAAACTCTGATTATTCTCTGATAGAGTGATTGGAACAGATACTTCTTTGTCACAAAAAACATTCATGAAGTTTGGTTCTTTAATGTCTTTATTATGGGTTAACAGAGAAAAGTGATCACATTTGCTGGGTCACAAATATACATACAGCAACAAGAACTAGCAATTTTGGTGACTTAGAAACGTGTCAATGAACTGAGCTTCATAGCATGGCCTCTTAACTTCTTGTGAGTGATTATGAGTGACTACAGCTGGTGACTTCTCTTAAGCCAGGTAAATAGGGCTCATTGGATACAAACGCCCACAAACGCTACAATGGGAAAGTCAAAGGAGCTCAGCATGGATCTGAAAAAGCAAATTATTGACTTGAACAAGTCAGGAAAGTCACTTGGGGCCATTTCAAAGCAGCTGCAGGTTCCAAGAGCAACAGTGCAAACAATTGTTTGTAAGTATAAGGTGCATGGCACTGTTTCATCACTGCCAAGATCAGGAAGAAAACGCAAGCTATCACCTGCTGCTGAGAGAAAATTGGTCAGGAGGGTAAAGAGTGAACCAAGAATCACCAAAAAGCTGATCTGCCAAGAATTAGAAGCTGCTGGAACACAGGTGTCATTGTCCACAGTCAAACGTGTTTTGCATCTCCATGGACTGAGAGGTTGCCGTGAAAGAAGGAAGCCCTTGCTCCAAAAGCGGCACCTTAAGGCTCGACTGAAGTTTGCTGCTGATCACATGGACAAAGATAAGACCTTCTGGAGGAAAGTTCTATGGTCAGACGAAACGAAAATCAAGCTTTTTGGCCACAATGCCCAGCAATATGTTTGGAGGAGAAAAGGTGAGGCCTTTAACCCCAAGAACACCATGCCTACAGTCAAGCATGGTGGTGGGAATATTATGCTGTGGGGCTGTTTTGCTGCCAATGGAACTGGTGCTTTACAGAGAGTAAATGGGATAATGAAGAAGGAGGATTACCTTCACATTCTTCAACATAACCTCAAATCATCAGCACGAAGGTTGGGTCTTGGGCGCAGTTGGGTGTTCCAACAGGACAATGACCCCAAACACACATCAAAAGTGGTAAAGGAATGGCTAAATCAGGCTAGAACAAGGGTTTTAGAATGGCCTTCCCAAAGTCCTGACTTAAACCCCATTGAAAACATGTGGACAGTGCTGAAGAAACAAGTCCATGTCAGAAAGCCATCAAATTTAACTGAACTTCACCAATTCTGTCAAGAGGAGTGGTCAAAGATTCAACCAGAAGCTTGTGGATGGCTACCAAAAGTGCCTAATTGAAGTGAAAATGGCTAAGGGACATGTAACCAAATATTAGCACTGCTGTATGTATATTTGTGACCCAGCAAATGTGATCACTTTTCTCTGTTAACCCATAATAAAGACATTAAAGAACCAAACTTCATTAATGTTTTTAGTGACAAAGAAGTATCTGTTCCAATCACTCTATCAGAGAAAAATCAGAGTTTTAGAAATAACGGGACACTCAGTAGAGCCATTATATTATATTTTTTACAAGTGTATGTAAACTTCTGACCACAACTGTATATAAATAAAGCTTTGATTGATTGATTGAAGTATTTGAACACCTTGCAATTTTGCAAGTTCTCCCACTTAGAAATCATGGAGGGGTCTGAAATTCACAAAGTAGGTGCATTCCCACTGTGAGACACAGAAATCACATTGTATGATTTGTAAAGAATTTATTTGTTTTGCACTGCTGCACATAAGTATTAGAACACCTGAGAAAATCAGTATTAATATTTGGTACAGAAGCCTTTGTTTGCAATTACAGAGATCAAACGTTTCCTGTAGTTCTTGACCAGGTTTGCACATACTGCAACAGGGATTTTGGCTCACTCCTCTGCACAGATCATCTCTAGATCTGTCAGGTTCTGGGGCTGGTGCCGAGCAACACGGAGTTTCAGCTCCCTCCAAAGATTTTCGATTGGATTTAGGTCTGGAGACTGGCTAGGCCACTCCAGAACTTTGATATGCTTCTTACGGAGCCACTCCTTGGTTATCCTGGCTGTCTGCTTCGTGTCATTGACATGTTGGAAGACCCAGCCACGACCCATCTTCAATGCTCTGACTGAGGGAAGGAGGTTGTTGCTCAAAATTTCACAACACATGGCCCCATTCATCCTCTCCTTAACACAGTGCAGTCGTCATATCCCCTTTGCAGAAAAGCACCCCAAAGCATGATGTTTCCACACAGACGGGCCTGGACATGCGATGACGTGAGCAGGGGAACCTTTCGTGCAATGCGTGATTTGAAACCATGACGGCATAGTGATCTACCAACGGTGACCTTTGAAACGGTGTTCCCAGCTCTCTTCAAGTCATTGACCAGCTCCTCCCGTGTAGTTCTGGGCTGATTCCTCACTTTTCTTATCATCAGTGATACCCCACGAGATGAGATCTTGCATGGAGCCCCAGTCCGAGGGAGACTGACAGTCGTCTTTAGCCTCTTCCATTTTCTGACAGTTGCTGCAACAGTTGATCTATTTTCACTAAGCTGCTTGGCAATTTCCCCATAGCCCTTTCCAGTTTTGTGGAGGTCCACAATTTTGTCTCTGGTTTCTTTTGACAGCTCCTTGGTCTTGCCCATGGTAGTAGTTGGAGTGTGACTGACTGTGGGGTGGATAGGTGTCTTTAAAGAGCTCAGACAGGTGCTACAAATTAAGATTACTAAGTGGAGTAGAGGTGGACTTCTTAAAGGCAGAGTAACAGGTCTTTGAGAGCCAGAATTCTTGCTGATTGCCAGGTGTTCAAATACTTATGTGCAGCAGTGCAAAACAAATAAATTCTTTATAAATCATACAATGTGATTTCCTGTTTTTTTTTTCCATTCTGTCTCTCACAGTGGGAATGCACCTATGTGAATTTCAGACCCCTACATGATTTCTAAGTGGGAGAACTTACAAAATCGCAAGGTGTTCCAATACTTATGTTCCTCATTGTCTGTAGCTCTAGTTTGTTTTACCCAGCAGCCAGACCGACACATTATATTTCAGCTCATCTTAGACCAAGCAGTGTTATGGTAAACGCACAGAACTTCCCCCATTCTTCCATTCAAGCAAACTATTAGCAAACTAATGCAGCTGAGTGACTCAATAGTGAAGCAGCGTCAACAACGTCCCCTTTAAAAAATCCCTATCTAAGACTCTAACAAAAATAACAACAGGGAATAAGGCCACTAATTGGTGTTGGTTCAGCAAATTTTTAGGTTCAATAGAGCATTAGATACGCTTTATTTTATAGCTGTGCTTTTTCTGACGTTCTTAGGTAAGGTGGCAGCAAGCAAAAGCAATCAATACTGTGAATTCAGTGATTAAAATTAAACGAGTGGTATGAAATAACTAATAAGCATTCACGTTTTTCATGCTGTAGGCCTGTCGTTCGCTGAAGCCTTTGAGTAAGTGATTAACATGGAGCACGAGACAATAACTCATGGGTTTAAATGCCTTTACTGGCTGCTGAAACATGAAATGGCCCATCACACAAGTTATGCAGCATTGCTTGATCTTGTCAATTTATGTGGCTGTGACTATTTCTCCAAGCTTCAGGTAAATTATTGAGTGCGTATTTTGTGGTGTGGACAGTTGTCAAAGACCGTTAAATTTTAAGTGTTATATGACTATATTTTTGTAGACTGACAGTATTTGGGCAATTGGACTTGTTTTTCTCTCTTTCAACAAGCTGAAGCTAGCAACTCAGGCTGGTGTTACCAGAGCCTCGGCTTAAGCTGGGCGTACACTGTGCGACTTTTTCACTCGCAGTGTTCAGCTTCAGCTCAAACTGTACGACTTCTTCGCAGGGCAGATCTCACGAGTCATGTGCTCACACTGCACGACCCAGTTCTCGCATGCGACCTGACTGCTCACACTGTACATCTGGTAGCGACACGTCGGCCCTAAAAATATGCTAAAAATAGCAGTTTTTACTCAACACGTCAGACTTTTTTGTCTTGTTTTGCCTGTTGTCCTTCGGGAGTGCTGCAGGAGGACACACAGGGATTTTTATGGGGGTTGGATGAGGAAAACGAAATAAAGAAAGTAAATCTGTGTTTTGTGATCAGTTTAATTTGACATGAACACGACAAACACTTGACAATCTTTGTGAGTAAAAAAACGTGTAGAAACAAAAATGAACAACGTGTGTTATTAGGGAAATAGCGGGGAGCGGCGTTGATGCATGATTGCACATGCGCCGTGAGCGGTTCTGATACTTTTTGGGTCGCAGCCGCTCGCAGCGCCGCTTCAACAGTGCGATACCCTCACGAGGGACGAGCGAAATATTAAACACGCCAGAAGTCCGTGCGACCTCACGACTGCTGATCGGTAGCTGGTCACGTGGTGTTAATCGCCTCTCGTAACCCCCTGTACACTACACGACCGCTCGGCGCAAAACTCGCCCCGATGTCGTGGATTCTCGCACGACTGGAAAATCGACTCAAAAAAGTGAAAAAGTCGCACAGTGTACGCCCGGCTTTACTGTAGCTCTGCAGTAGCATCACAGCAACCAGCATTTAAATATTGCTGACGCTGAAGTGGGTACTTGGAACGTGTGGATTTCAGCAAGAGTGGCTACCATGTGACGCTCGGAAGAGATTATTTTCTTTTGGTGTTTTTACTTACTCAGAAAGATAATACATGTTCCCTCCCACTTTAGACAACTAGACCTTTTACTGCATGAAGATTATCTCAAACATTCATGGTAGAGGTTTTCTATTCAAAAGATTAAATGGTGAAACATAATATAGACTCAATGTAAAAAACAAAAACAAAAGGAAACTATTTACCTCCTGACACTGGTGCGTCCATAAAAACGGCTCCCAACTTCTCAGCAGCAGCAGCCATCTCTTTAGAAACAGCCGGGTCTATCGTACTGGAGTCAATAAGTAGGGAACCCTTCTTCACTTTCCTGTATAAATGTTTAAAGTTAGGTTGAATCTTTAAAAAGAGCAATAGATTTTATAGTACAAGTTTAAAAAAACAAACACAAATGTACTTGAGAATGCCACTGGGTCCGGTGTAGACATCTATGACATTAGGACTAGATGGAAGCATAGTGATAATACGGTCTGCTTTGTCTGCAACCTCTGCAGGATTGTCAACAATCTGCAAAAAATAAATAAACAAATAAATAAACACAAACACATCAGGTAGGAATGTTTTAGAAATATTAAAACCAGAAATGCATGCAAACAATCACCTGAGCGCCCAGTTCTTGGATATCTTTGCAGGATTCTGGGAACACATCTGTTGCAATGACTGGATATCCATTCTTCAACAGATTTTTTGCCATTGGGTTTCCCATATTTCCCAAACCAACAAACCCAACCTGTGTCTTTGAGGCCATAGACCTTGTGGAAACTACAATATAATCACAGAATAGATGGATTTTAGGACATCATATTGAATATTTATTAAGATTGAAGATAAGACAGAAAGCTCATTAAAGCTGCAATGGCAAATCTGCACAACAAGATTACTTTTAAACACAAACACGAACACAGAACTCTCATCCCTACAGTTGGCTATCATCCCTAAGGCACACCCCCCTGATATGGTAATGCACATTGCCACAGTAAACAAAAGAGCTAAACACCAGTTGCAGTTTTGTTTTGACTGTTGAAACGTCTTTCTGTTTTCTGTTACTTCAAATGGCATTTTTCTTTTTGAGACGATTGTAGTTTGTCCTAAAGGTGAAGTGGTAGCAAACGGCTGTTTCCAGGAGACACCAGCTGTGTTCTGTTGCAAAATGTGCGAGCCGGTAATGAGTGGAGAACCTGCTAACCTGTGTTTACAGAAGCAGGTCTTTGGGCTGCCTTGCACCCTTAAGCGGAGGCCTACAGCCGTGCTGTGTCATAAAGTAGTTCCAAGTATAAAAAGGCACCTTGTGATTTTCACTTGCAGTCAGTCTGATTATGTAGGTCACCAAGCAGAACTGGGATCACTACTGAGTGATTTTAAGGACTTTTTTTTTTTACTCACAGTGCTAGTTGGATCCACTCAGTTACTGTGTTTTATGCTAAGCTAAGTTAAGCCTGGCAGATTTGGCCTTGGGGGGGGGGGGGGGGGGGGGGGGGGGGGGGGGGCACACGTTCCGCTGATGTGTCTCACCAGTATCAGCTGATGGAGGGCTCTAATTTCGTTGCGCCGTTTGTGTCAGTGGACACGGTAGGGGCGAGGAGGGGGGCAGGGCATGACGCTTAGCCTGGCGACAGTTCTCCTTCTCCCCTTAAACGTTGTGCGTGGAATGGTGCTGGTTCTCTCTGTAGCCCTTTTTACAGACATGATGTGCCAGCAAATCAGCATAATATTACCGCAATGGTGTGTCTTATAAACTATATTGAAATTGAAACTAAACTCAGGCCATAAGTTTTCCTTTTTGAACAGAATCAGCTGAGATGGCAAACTGGAGCAATGAAGCGCTTCCGGAGCTTCACTCCATTAGAGCTGGAGGTCAGATCACCAGAGAGTGCATGGGGACTGTGGGTGACGGGACACCTTTAGGAGCGGCTTGTTAAACAACCTTCGTTGAGTGTGCCTTTGATCTTAATAAAACAAGTTATGTCCAAGACAAACGTAAGTGTGTAGCAGCACAGAGACCACCCCTGTACCCCATTTATGCCGTTATTGTGTAATTCTTTGTAAAAAGGACTCATTTGCACTACATTACAGCTAGGGTCTGACCACTTGCAACCTAACGCTCCCTGATGCAGCAATGGTGTTGCGGGAAAATTGCCAGCATTGTTTCATGAAAATGGCTTGTGGTAGCCTTGCTGGTTTGGGGAATTTCTGCTCCTTCCCCTCGGGTTGTTGGCCTTGATCCAACTGCATGTGATTGCTGGATTGAAAGCTGGAAGGCATTTACAGGTCCTTTTCAAAAAATTAGCATATTATGATAAAGTTCATTATTGTCTGTAATGTACTGATAAACATTAGACTTTCATATATTTTAGATTCATTACACACAACAGAAGTAGTTCAAGCCTTTTATTGTTTCTAATATTGATGATTTTGGCATACAGCTCATGAAAACCCAAAATTCCTATCTCAAAAAATTAGCATATCATGAACAGGTTCTCTAAACGAGCTATTAACCTCATCATCTGAATCAACTAATTAACTCTAAACACCTGCAAACGATTCCTGAGGCTTTTAAAAACTCCCAGTCTGGTTCATTACTCAAAACCGCAATCAAGGGTAAGACTGCCGACCACTGCTGTCCAGAAGGCCATCATTGACATCCTCAAGCAAGAGGGTAAGACACAGAAAGAAATTTCTGAATGAATAGGCTGTTCCCAGAGTGCTGTATCAAGGCACCTCAGTGGGAAGTCAGTGGGAAGGAAAAAGTGTGGCAGAAAACGCTGCACAACCAGAAGAGGTGACCGGACCCTGAGGAAGATTGTGGAGAAGGACCGATTCCAGACCTTGGGGGACCTGCGGAAGCAGTGGACTGAGTCTGGAGTAAAACATCCAGAGTCTCCGTGTACAGGCGTGTGCAGAAAATAGGCTACAGGTGCAGCATTCCCCAGGTCAAGCCACTTTTGAACCAGAAACAGCGGCAGAAGCGCCTGACCTGGGCTACAGAGAAGCAGCACTGGACTGTTGCTCAGTGGTCCAAAGTACCTTTTTCAGATGAAAGCAAATTTAGCATGTCAATCAGAAATCAAAGTGCCAGAGTCTGGAGGAAGACTGGGCAGAGGGAAATGCCAAAATGCCTGAAGTCCAGTGTCAAGTACCCACAGTCAGTGATGGTCTGGGGTGCCATGGCAGCTGCTGGTGTTGGTCCACTGTGTTTTATCAAGGGCAGGGTCAGCAGCTAGCTATCAGGAGACTTTGGAGCACTTCATGCTTCCATCTGCTGAAAAGCTTTATGGAGATGAAGATTTCATTTTTCAGCACGACCTGGCACCTGCTCACAGTGCCTAAACCACTGGTAAATGGTTTACTGACCATGGTATTACTGTGCTCAACTGGCCTGCCAACTCTCCTGACCTGAACCCCGTAGAGAATCTGTGGGATATTGTGAAGAGAAAGTTGAGAGACGCAAGACCCAACACTCTGGATGAGCTTCAGGCCGCTATCGAAGCATCCTGGGCCTCCATAACACCTCAGCAGTGCCACAGGCTGATTGCCTCCATGCCACGCCGCATTGAAGCAGTCATTTCTGCAAAAGGATTCCCGACCTTTTTTTTAGCTTCAGCAAATACGGAGAGTGCATTGAATGAAATATTAAATAAAGAGTTAAGAACAGTCGAGCAGTGGATAACTGCTAACAAACTATTGTTTAATGCAGGAAAACTAAATGCATGGTAGTTGGCTCCAAACATACTTTACAGACTATGCCAAAGTTACATTTAACTCTGAGTAACAATGTAATGGAACAACTAGAAGAAGTAAAATTACTGGGAGAAATAGTTGATTGTAAGTTATCATGGACAAGCCAGATTAATTATGTTTTACAGAAAATGGGGAGAGGTACGGGCATAATTAAATTTTGTTGCAAATATATACCACAATGCTTACCTTAAAAGCCTTGTTCAATTGTTAGTGCTTTTTTGTGTAGATCAAGCATCTGTTATTTGGTCCAGTACAAGTGAAAATAATTTGCATAAGCTACAAGTAGCACAAAATAAAGCTGCTCGTATTGTTTTAGGCTGCCCTTACAGAACAAATGTGGGAACTATGCATGAAAAACTTGCTTGGCTCAATGTGAAGAGTAGATTGAAGTATTTCTTGGTAACAATTATGAGGAAAATTATAATTACAAAACACAAAAAATTATATATAGCAAATTATTGTTTTCTCAGATAATCATACTTATAATACACGACAGATAAATGAGATGAAAGGTGTTTTACCACGCAGTAGAAAAAATCTAATTCAACGATCATTTCACCTTAAAGCTATGATTGCATGGAATGCACCTAGATTTTTAATATTTGAAAGTAATAACATTTCTTTTCAGAAGAAAGAGAAAATGTTTTTGTTTATACACTTAATTGTATAGTGACTATGAACTCTGTAACGAAGGATTGGGTATCTGGGTTTGAGGTTGACTACTGGATATCGATGGACTATGATACGAAACAATGGACATGAGGTCACCATTCTGTTGTATTTTATTTTCAATATTTATTGATAAATACATAAACATTGGTGTGATAAACTCCTTTCCCGATATTAGTTTATATATGTAATTGTGTTCTAGATATGGGATTTCATCTTGAGCTACTGGGATTATGTGAATTAGGGATGTGTGTGTGAGTGTGTGTGTGTGTGCAGGTATTATCTTATTATGCAAACATTGTATGAAAATGTACGAGACCCCAGGAAGACTAGCATCTGCATTTAGGCAGAAGCTAATGAGGATCTCAATAAAATAAAATGAAACGAAACCAAGTATTGAGTGCATAACTGAACATAATTATTTGAAGGTTGACTTTTTTTGCATTAAAAACACTTTTCTTTTATTGGTCGGATGAAATATGCTAATTTTTAGAGATAGGAATTTTGGGTTTTCATGAGCTGTACGCCAAAATCATCAATATTAGAAACAATAAAAGGCTTGAACTACTTCAGTTGTGTGTAATGAATCTAATATAGATGAAAGTCTAATGTTTATCAGTACTAGGGATGCTCTGATCAGGTTTTAATCTGCCGATCACCAATACCGATCAGCCAAGAGGCCGATCATGGCCGATCAGCCGATTACCGATACCAATTACATAGATTGGCTGTAAATTGTTCATTTAGCTATGGTGAGTTCTAATGCATGTGTTACATATTAATTCAGAAAAAACATAGTTTTACTTCACTTCAAATTATGTAATATCAGTAACAATTTATAAGAAATTGAAAACATTAAGGCTCTCTTTAGGCTACAAATAGTGCAAAAAAAAAGTCAATATCTCACATCACCGCCTAAATCAAATTAAGTAACCAAGGATACATTCAGATACATCCAGTGAGCTGTAAAGCTCAGCATTGACACAGGACTGACATCTGAGCTCCAAATGTCACTTGTGAAACTCACAGAGGATGAGACGCTTTCTTTAAGGAGTCCCTCGATGAAAGAATACACTGTCTGGTGGAGCTCTGGAAGGGCTACGTCGGCAAAATATTTACGTCCCGGTAGCACGTAGCGAGGTTCCAAGTGGGTTAGTAGTCGGCGGAATCCGACGTCTTCCACAACTGAAAAAGGCTGGTCGTCTAGTCCAATAAACTCGATGATTTTACGGGTAATTTGCTTAGCCTTTTGACTGTCACGCTCAAATGGGCGAGTGTTTCCAAGCGTCGGCTGCGTTAGCTGCCGTCTGTCAGGTTCGTTGGCAGATCTGAAGCGTGACTGAGAGTTCTGTTGCCCAGACGCGGAGAGACGGAGATAGCCGGCGTGGTTATCTCCTGTAGGTGTAGTATGAGTGTTTTGAGGGCTGGTAAGCCTGGAGACTCGATACAAAGTCTGGTGAGAAACGATGACTGAGCAATGAATGAAACGCCGGCACTTCCTTAAGTAGTGCCGGCGTGATGACGTCAGTCGCCACGTTGGTGGCAGGAATGAATGGAATGCAGTCAGCTGGAGGAGTTCGTGACAGGACCCCCCCCTCGAGGGACGGCTCCCGAAGTCCCAGGACGGCGGGCCCAGAAGTCAGTCAGCAGGGTAGGGTCGACAAACGAGCTCGTGGGCTCCCAAGAGCGTTCCTCAGGCCCGTACCCCTCCCAATCCACGAGGTACTGCCAACCTCGTCCCCGGCGGCGAGCGTCCAGAATCCTGCGGACCGTGTAGGTGCGATCCGCCTCAACACCGCGGGGCGGAGGCACCCGGACCGGTGGAGGGTGGAGAGGAGAGGAGATCACCGGCTTAAGCTGGGAGACGTGAAAGACCGGGTGGATCCGGAGAGTAGCCGGGAGGCGCAGACGGCAGGTGACAGGATTGATGACCTTAAG